ATGGCATCTTAGGGCAAAAAATAGGGTTTGTTTTATATTTAAGTATCTTCGATCACGTCGACACAAAGATTTTTAACCTTCGTATCTCCGGATAGAAGAAACTTAAATAAGGGCAGTTGTAGTACCCCAATTCTTGCCCCGAAGATCCCTTTATCATACCATATTGATTCAATCACAACAAGATCACATTAGGGCTTTTGGTTCTCCTCCCTATCTTTAGCTTTGCTCTTTGAGAAATCACCAAGCACCTTGACTTATTTTTCTTTTGTGATCATGCATGTTTTGTTTTGACTTTCCTTTTAATTAATAAAATGCAATGTTGGTTTGTCTTACTTGTTAATAATGTAGGTAAAGGCAATATGGCTTAGCAAGTTGATCCATGGATTCATGAGTTTATTTCCATGCCCTAGTCAATAAAGCTTGAGAAATTCAAACCTCACCATTGAAGTTGTTTTGGAAGAAATGGCATGGCAAGGTTTATTTTAGTTCACCACATTTCAAAGTTATCAAGATTGATTCAAAAGTACAAGGGGTTGATTAAAGAAGTTGTCATGGTTGGACAAGGCCTTGTTCCCATTGGTCACAAGTGCATATTTCTCTCAATTCTCAAGATATGGAAGTGGTTTTAGTTTCTATGAGTTCTCATTATCATCATCAACAACTTCTATCTACAAAGCAAAAGTGTTGGTATAAGAAGGTTGGTTAAAATTGTCAAAGTTCCTCAAAGCATTTTCTTGATCTAGGAGCTAGGGTTTTGAACTTCAAAGAAGTATATCTTGCTCATCTTTTGGTATTTTTTAGTGATTCAAAAAACATAATTCTCTTCAAAGGGTTATTAACAAATCACTTCAAAAGTTTTAAGGAGTTTTCATGTGGAAGAAACTTGATGATGAAGAAAGATTACAAGTCCTCCAAATGAACCCCTAACTTCCCATGTGTGACTTCAAATGATCATAACTTGGTCAATTTTTATCACCTTGAGCCTACTCTTTTTCCACAATGATCTTAAGGATGTGAACTGTATTCCTTATTTTATGTGAAAAGTGATAAAATGGATGGAGGATGCCTTAAGTATACAAAATATTATAGGTCATTTCATGATTTTTTGCCAACTTCAACAATTCATAACTCTCTCAATTTTTGGAGATTCTGAATGGTTCAAGTTTCAAAATGCCATTCAAGAGGTCTATTTAATGCCATATTTTTTGGTAGAGAGAAAATTCCAAGAGAAAGGCCATGTTTGGATGCAAAACATTATAGGTCACTTTTGAAGAAAAACTTGAAATATTTCTAAGTATGGAAAGTCCAGCTCTTTTTCCCAACTTTGACTCATTGCAACTTTCAGCTCAAACCTCCATTTGATTCCATTATTTTCCCATTGCAAAGCTTGTAATCTCATCTTTCTAAAGCGTCAAGAACCATGCCTTAAGACCCCTTGAGCTGAGAATGCCATTGTTTCAAAAGTGGTAACTTGGAATTGAAGTTTCATCGCAAGTCAGAATTTAAATTTCATGTTACAACTTCTAACCCTCAAATTAGCACGTGTTTTGGGTCTAAGCATGATTAGCCAACTTTCCCAAGTGGATTAGTGCATTAAAACGCGTGTTTTGGATGAGTTTTGACAAAAGAGAAGTCACACTTTCTTCATGATGCAGACCCACACGAATCCCCTCCAAATTGCATCATTCACCCTTCCTTTTGATCCCATTTGCTTCTCCTATAAATACATGAGCTATCCCATTCGTTTTCTCAAGCTTGAAAAGCCAAAATCATTCTTCCAATCTCGCTCCATAACTCACTTTTCTTCAACTTCGAAATCATTTTTCAAGCCTTTTTCAATCCATTTTTTCTATCAATTCACCTTCCTCAATCTTCCCTGAAGCTAACAGAAGAAGAATTGAGCCTTGAAACCTTCTGAATTGATCTGACCAAGTCCATTTACAGAGCTCTGCAACTGAACTTCAATAAGTAGATTTCTCCATCAATTCTTCCAAACCTTGATATCATTGTGAAGCTCTCATTTCCCTGATTCATGTGCTTCTTACAATTTTAAAATCCATTAAGAATTCAGAAAGAAATCTCAAATTGAAGATGCTCGCTATTTTCTGGGTTTTTGATTCATATCTCTTTGCATGCCTTATATAAATTTGGCACGATGGTGATGTTAGGATCATCTTGAAGAGACGAATCCAATTATACTAGTTTGGGATCCTAATTTTTCCATTTGAAGGATCTCACAAAATCTCCATTACAGGGCGTCTGGAGGTTGAAGACGATGACATGTCTCGTCTCATCCAATGATAGCGTGCCAAACGTTTTAATTTCATTGGTTGCCTTTTTTCTGATCCTATGTGTATCTCACTAAGGTCCATATCAAGCACAGCACGTCTGTGATCGGTGGATCTGGAACTGACTGTTTAACGCTGGTTCGCGAAATGTCGCGGAAGCAAGAGTCGCCACCGTCTTTTATTTTCTCCAAATGGAAAGGACAAAAGCACAGAAAAATTCCTTATAGAGATTGCTCTCGGTTCGGGAGGTAGATTATAGAAAGGGAAGGTGTTAGCACCCTTTCTATCCATGGTTATCCATGGGCTCTTAGATACTTGCTCATTTGTGTTTTCGAAATGGTTTGTTTGCTTTTCAACTGTGGGTTTAAAAAAAAGTTTCTTTGAAAATTTCAGTTCGACTCTTGTATCGGTCCTCAAGAGTGTTTGAAAAGTTGCTTTCGAAAGCTTTTTGAAAAGGTGTCGGTGTGAAAAGTATTTTTGATTTGTTTTTGAAATTAGAGCAAGTATCTAAAGTCGTCTACCTACCCTAAGGAATTCGTCTGTGTAAATGTCCTTAAAGTAGTGCCATCCCACCATTGAGAGGTAGGTAGCACCACCGTTGGAGGTATTCGGGTCAATTCGAAGGTTCGGGACATGGTGATCACCGGAGCAATAGGAAGACACCTTAGAAGCTACCCTCATGCCAGGTTCCTGGATCATGAGGACTTACTAAAACGTCCTCTACTCGACGATCACCTTTCGAGGGGCAAGGCAATAGTGAGGCGTACCCTAGGGGTGGTGTGTGATTTGTGTGTCATGTTCATTTGCATTTATCTTGTTCATGTCATGGGTGATCTACGCGTTGCTTTTATTTTGACATTCATTCTTTCATGCGATAGTTTAACAGTTAAAAGTTGCGGGAATATAAAAGTCATACGCTATTACAAAGGCGCGCGGGTCCACATCGCCAAATTAATCCAGGACCCGATTTGAGATAAAATAAAGTGCGAGAAATAAAACCCTAATTGATCTATTACACAGCTTTGGGAGAATTACATTATATTCACGAAAAGAAATAAAAAATGCGAAGAGAATTAAAATCGGGAATGCGAGGGCGTTGGACCCTTTTTAGGAAATTAAATTAAAATTACGAAATTAATTAAATTGAATAAAAAAAAGAAGTTTGTAGCGGTGAAAATCGGAGATCAAGCTATTAATTAACTTGACTCACAAAAGCAAGAGTCGCCACCGCGCTTTATTATTTCCAAGGGAAAAGGGAAAAGAGCGAAATAAAACCCTAAAATATGCAATGTAAAATAATACTTAAAAGTAATAAAAATACAATGCATTTTTTAAAAGAGATCGAGAGTTCGGGGGTTGGTTATACAATGGGAAGATATTAGCACCCAATGCATCTGCGGTACTCCTCATGAACCTTTTGAAATATCTGTTTTTGGTTAAAATTGTTTGTTTGATTAAAATGGTTCGTTTGGCTAAAAAAATGGGTATGGACGAGATTTTGAAGATGCGACGACCTAGTGTCGAAGTTTTGACTTAAAAGGTATGAGTTTGAAAATGGAGTCTTTTGGGAAAATTATCTTAAGTTTGGAAAAAAATAGTAAATAAGCAAAAAATGGATGAGGGTATTCGCACGATTGTAACAAATATATTTGATGACATGAAGTCAACAAAGTTAAAAACATTTCCCTTGGAATTAAAACCACAGACAGATAAATAAGCTAAGAGTATATCAAACCTCAGGTGAAAATAAATCACGAGCCGACAGCGTCAAAAAAACCAGATGTAAGATAATACTCCCAGCAGCGAATAAAGCGCAATGAACCACAAGCGAGAAGTGCAACGCGTGAAAATAAATCACGGGAAAAAAAAGAAATTGTGGATGACGCTCACGGTATAAGATTCCCTACATCACATGAAAAACTCCAACAACCAGATAAACAGGGTAACAGAGAAATAATATGAACATCTCATGTGAAATAAAGAATCAAGCTATGGGACCGGAATGCGTCAAATCGAAATCCATAAAATAAACTAGTCAATGAAGTTTATACATCCGTTATATATTTGAAAATTAAATCGAGTTCAAAATGTGAAATCACAATGAAATGATATAAAATAGACAACACAACTTAAATTTATTTACAAGATAAAATTCTAACTAAATCTAAAACTCAAAAGTTTCTATTAAATAAAATAATAAGAAAATTAAATCACAAATTGAATTTATTTAAAAACCAACAAATTAATTACACATTACATAATGTACTAAAGTAATCTAAAAAACAAAAGATAAACATTATTACTTCTAAATTTAAAATCTAATGTCTTAACTTTTTATTTATTTTTGGATAAACTTTTGAATATAAAAAAAAAACAAGAAAACTAAATTAAAAGAGTGAATATACAAAAATGATAACTAAATTAAAAAGAATAAAAGAAACAGAGCCACTACATGATTGAGTGGTATGTGCAGAAACTTACGCGGAAACGGAGGGTGATAGCTGGCGGAAAAGAAGCTCGCGTGAAGGAGGTTAGACGCTTTAATATCACATGAATGATCTTAGGATGACAATCTTCATGAAGATAAGCAAGTCCTTTTGCAGCTCCTAAAGCAATTCGCAGTCTTGTTGACAAATCCATAGTTGGTCGTCCATTTCCATGTAAATGGAATTCCAATGCATTGTTTGGAACAAACTCATAAACAAGTAACCTCTAAAACCCAGTGTTGCAGTATCCAACAAGAGAAACAAGATGTTTATGGTGAGCACGGCTAATAATCTCAACTTCAGCTTGAAATTCGCGTTCTCCTTGTCCACTTCCAGCTTTTAGCTGCTTAACAGCAACCTCTTTGCCATTAGGGAGAATAACTCTATGAACATATCCAAATCCACCTTGTCTAAGGAGGTTAGCATCAGAGAAGCCATCTGTTGCACGTGCCAACTCCTCGTATGTAAACGTACTCTTTGCAGTACTAAGTGCAAGGCCTGGAGATGGAGGTGGAAGCAGTTCGCCACCTGAATAGTTTGAGCCGGTACCACCACTGCTGCTCATGAGAGGAGGAGGAGGCGGAGCAACATGAGGAACCAGCGGCGTGAACAATAGCCGCGGAACGACCAGTAGTTGCGGACTGAACAATAGCCGTAGAAAAAATGTTATCATATAATTTGTTTTAGATATTTTCCAAACCAGAGCAATAGACAGATATGGAGATTAGAGAAAGAGATCAACTCAAATATATCAAAGCTCGTAAAACAACGTCAAGAGGAATGTCGTGAGCAAGATCTCTTGCAAATGATACTCCAGGGTGCAAAGAATTGTGAGGGAAGTGATGGCTTTTTATCAAACTCAATTTCGCGAGACAGGTTCATTATAGATAACTGCAAAACCATATTCTTTATTGGACATGAAACTACTGCAATTACAGCATCTTGGTGCTTAATGGTGTTGGCTGTTTTTATTGTGTGTATTTTTGTGAATGGTAGTGGAGAGAGGGAATGGTTGTGAGGTGGAGATTTTAGGTTGTTGATGGTGGCGTACTGGTGTTTAACAACGGAGTTTCGGTTTTGTTTAATGAGGCATAGGTAGTCGTTGCTGGAGGGGAAAGGTATTGGCGTGTTTTCGGTGATGGTGGTCAGGAGTGGTTTCGGAAATGAGATAAGGGTGCTGGTAAGAGACTGAGTTGTGGTGGTTTAGTGGAATAGCGAAGAAGGGTTGTGTTTTCTGTTCTCTGAAACTCTTCTCGCGGTAGTTGAGACGAATCAAAATGGAGTGTGGTAGTGGGGAAAGTGATATGAAGTATGGTTAGAGAAAGATGCTGGTTTTGTTGTATTTTTTTTGTTGTCTTCCACAAAGAAAAAAGAGACTATTAAAGTAGTCAGATGAAGAGGAAAAATGATTTCAGCTTGCAATCATATCCGTCCATTATTTTCATTAATCCTGCACAACTTCTATCAACCAATTAGAAAAAAGAATAGTTTAACAAAAAAAATTAATGATTAAAAATCCCTCTAAAAATAAAAATGACTTAAAAACCTGAAAGTGTACAAATTAATGCAATTTAAAATATATTTTTTTGAATTTTTATGAATAAAAAATAAAGACCCAAGATGACCGAAAAATAATAAAAAACGGACGAAAATTTATCCGAAAAAATAAAATGAACACATTAAAATAAACTACATGTCACGAAGATTAAAGAAAAAATATTCAAGAAGTCAAAAATCAAAAATAAAATAATAATAAAAATATCAGACTAAACAAACGTTTAAGGTTAAAAACGAGACTTCGAACTGTGCCGAAAAAATAAAGCGAGCATACCGTCATGATCTATGCGAAACGCAGATTCATAAAATGATCGGTAAAAGGTGAAAATTTGAAATATTTTCTCGCTAATTTCCCGCATAGTGTCGAATCGCTTTTAACAGTCGGTCTATAAAACCAAAATATTTTTATTATTGACATATAAACAACTTGGAGCAATGCAACAAATGAGTAAATAGATAAAAATGCATGAAGCAACATGCCGGGTATTTTACAACTGAAAGACGATGCAAACTTTGATTTAAACTGACTTTTTCTGATCAACTTAAATACGACTAATGATGCAAAATGTGATGAATGAAGATATTTACTAATGATTGTGACCAAATAACAAAATATGATATGAAAGTGCGACTAAAACATATTAGGGGCGAAATTTAGGGTGCAACAGTTGTGCCTTGATGAATCAGTCTTCAAGAATCCACAATCAACCGTACTTCTGGCTTGGGAGACTCAAAACCTTAATTGAGGTGCGACACCTGATGCTCTTGATTCAGACCTGTCTCAGCACATGAAACAAAAGAAAACATGAACATACACCTTGTATGCGATTAGAAATTAGTGATACATAGGCTAAAAATGTTCAAAACGCTTGACAATCTTCACATAGTCAAAGCTCGAAGGTGAGAGGTTAAAACCGGCCGTATTTAGTGACCTTGACTTTTGTATAAAAAAATGCAAAAATGCAAGTGGGATCTTAGGTCAAAAATTGGGGTACAACAGCTGCCCCTATTTAAGTTTCTTCTATCTGGAGATATGAAGGTTGGGATCTTCATTTCGACGAGATTGAAGGGACTTAAATATAGAATACACAATTTTTGGCCTTAAGATACCGCAATTATGTTCATGATATGATATTAATGTAATGCTCTGAATTTTACGGGAAATGACGCCATATGAGACAGACTATGTTGGAGAAACCAAGCACATTATACAGTAATCCCACAGAGGAAGAGGTTGTAACTCCACTGGGGAAACAAAGTCATAGACTTCAAATGAGAGACTCTTGAACGATTTACATCCATGTTGAGAATGGAAAAGAGATGATTTACATCAGTACGAAGACTGGAAAAAGAAATGATTTACATCAGTACGAAGACTGGGAAAAGAAATGATTTACATCAGTACGAAGACTGGAAAAAGAAATGATTTACATCAGCACTGTGGCTGGAAAACAAAATGATTTACATCAGCACTGTGGCTGGAAAACAAAATGATTGACATCAGCATTGTGGCTGGAAAACAAAATGATTGACATCAGCACTGTGGCTGGAGATAAACATCTCTGATTTCTGAATTTTACCAAGAACGGTAACACATTTCTTCTTTAACCAAGATATCGCTTGAAAAGGATAAAATAACAAACTTCCCCACGGGACTTTTCCGAAAGGGATGCCATTTGCTGAGTAGACATTATTGTTGGGGATACACAAGCTGCTCAAATAAAGAGGCCTCCACTTGCTTCCTTTCAAAGGTGTCAATAACATACAAGCTGCTCCTGAAGAGACCGCCATTTGCTGTCTTCAAAGAAAATTAAAGCACACAAGCTGCTCATGAAGAGTCCGCCACTTGTTGCCAAAAACCCACAAGCTACTCATAAAGAAGCTGCCACTTGCTGTCTTCAAAGAATATCAAAGCACACAAGCTGCTCATGAAGAGGCCGCCACTTGCTTCCTTTCAAAGGTGTCAATAACATACAAGCTGCTCCTGAAGAGACCGCCACTTGCTGTCTTCAAAGAAAATTAAAGCACACAAGCTGCTCATGAAGAGTCCGCCACTTGTTGCCAATAATCCACAAGCTGCTCATGAAGAAGCTGCCACTTGTTGTCTTCAAAGAATATCAAAGCACACAAGCTTCTCATGAAGAGGCCGCCACTTGCTTCCTTTCAAAGGTGTCAATAACATACAAGCTGCTCCTGAAGAGACCGCCACTTGCTGTCTTCAAAGAAAATTAAAGCACACAAGCTGCTCATGAAGAGTCCGCCACTTGTTGCCAATAATCCACAAGCTGCTCATAAAGAAGTTGCCACTTGTCGTTTTCAAGGGAACAATAACACGCAAGTTGCTCAAATAGATAAGCTGCCACTTGCTGTCTTCCAAAAATACTAACGTACAAGCTGCTCATGAAGAAGCTGCCACTTGCCGTTTTCAAAAAGTGTTGATAACATACAAGTTGTCCATGAAGAGACTGCCCCTTGCTGTTTTTAAAAGTGTTGATAACATACAAGTTGTCCATGAAGAGACTGCCGCTTGATGTTTTGTTGAAGATACTCATAAAAATATCGTGAAGATATTGCTGGAGGTGAGAATCAATAATTTCATCGAGGGTGGACAAACTGCTCATGAAGAGACCGCCATTTGTCGTAGAGAAATCAGAAATAACCAAACTTCTCAAATAAAGAGTCAGTCGCTTGTTGTCATGTCGATATTCCAGAAGAAGGTTGTGATAACACTGCTGGGGAATAAAGTTCATCTTCAACGGGGAACCATGAATAAATCCTTCTTGAGGAGACCAAGTATTTACGTTGCAAAATAAATGCACTCTCCATCTAGGTTTCACAGCCTAGAGAGATCCACAGGGTATCGTTCACAAGAGACAAAGCTCAATCCAGGAATAAACTGGAGAGAAAATAGTCAAACAAGACTCCGCCCAATGAGGAAACAACTCAAATGGGGATTTATCCTATCCAGAGATGGAAAAGGAAAGCTAAAGCAAGATTCTTCCACGAGAGTTAACTCAGTGGGGAATTAGAAAAGAGGCGCACTTTCTGCTTAAGTTGACACTCTATTTGGAAAGATCAAATACGCTATTTGAATAGACATAACCAAGGTATATGAACTCAAAGATATCAACAAATACAAATGTGCGTGCATGAGGCAAGTATGAACGAATGAATGAATGTCATGTATGTTGACAAAACAGACAGGGGAGATAGACAGAAGATGATAAGACGTCCCAGTACAACCCGACGCTCAGCTAATCTCAACAAAAGGGGAACATTACTGGAGATAAAACACAGGCCATCATTGGAGCAAGGTCCTTTTACAAGGCTTAAATATCTCTGGAGAGGAAGATATTTTCAGGTAGAAAACTCAAAGTCCAGTCTTCTATTGCAAACAATCCATTGAAAGGATAACAACACAAACAAAGTTTCAGCTGGAAAGAAGTCTTGCTTAGCTAGAGATACTGGGAACACCACCCTCTGATAATGTATGAAAAACATATCTTGACAAATCTAGATTTCCCCTGGGATTAATTTTGGATGCCCCAAGTTTACTGCTGATAAGCTTCGTGACGATTCTTGTGAATAACTTCACTTCTAAAATGCCTCAAGCTATATGGTTGATGAGGAGAAATCGTCTCAAGAGGATTTTACAAAAGACCTGGCATTCACTATGCTCTGGTGTCTTCAAACTCTTAGAGAGATTCATCAAATCTCGATGTGATTGCCCCGGATTGACTGTAGTTGGCACAACAAAGTCTTCGAATTTTTACCCCAAACAAGAAAACAAGTTGGGAAAAGCAATAACTGGGAGAAGCAACATGTTCGTGCTTACGGTCTTCAGGTGACATACCCATGGATATGATTTTGTTCTTGAAATGATTCTCCAATTACTCAACAGAGTTTCAGGCCTTAAAAGAATAAACTCATCACTAGTGCTCATATGTGAGCTTCCTTGATATCAAACAAATGTTTTGCAGTTAGAAAAAGTTTACAATAAGAATGAAAATTTCTAATGCAACAATTATGTAAGTCTTGAAGATTTTGAAAGATATCGCACAAATTTTGCGAGTTAAAGCACCATTTATTTTTGTATAGGAAAAACATATGATACCA